GCCGGACACACTGTAGACACGCCGTCCCCACCTCTTTTGTCGCATTCCTACTTGTCTGCATTCCGTCATGTAATGTCCCTATTTGTCCCTTTGATTTATTACCTTGTAGATGACTTACTCACCGACCGGCAGCCCCTGGAATATCAACTTAGGGGCGCCTATTCTGTCGTAAAGTACCTCCGTAGATGGTACGAACGACACAAAAATGTAAGAATGCTTTATCTCCTTTAAAGTTTTCGGGAATGTGGCCTGTTTTTGTTAATAGACTGAGCGTCATAACCTCACACAGATTCATAGTTTCGGATTTCTTTTTTTCTCTAAAATAAGTCTGGTTCTCTGAAACTAAGGTGCTTTTTCAGGTCCTGATTCACCGGATTTACGTGGGACGAATACTTTTACTTTCAAATGGTCAAATTTGATTTGGAGGCAAGGCTGTCTTGTAGGGCCGCCTAAATATGCATTTCCCCACTCACCCAACTGACTTACGGAATTGGTGGTTAAACTTTTAATTCTTGGTTAACGAGTGTAATTGAACATGTAATTGCATTGACAGTTTACAAAGAATATTAAATTGAAGCCATATTTAGTTATTTTAATGAGCTAAATAGAATAGACTCCGTCAACATAAACTCCTGTTGCCAAGGCAGCTGATGTCTATTGATGGAAGTGCAACCTTATATTGGCGGAATTTAACAAAAAAGGAAATTGACCCTTATATTGGCGGAATTTAACAAAAAAGGAAATTGACCCTTATATTGGTGGAATTTAACGAAGAAAGTGAGTCTGTCTGTGCGCGATTTAGAAACCAAAGCATGAAAGAGTGCTCTACCTGCCACCGCGTGCTTACCTCCAGTACGCTTGCCCTACTCTCATCTGCAAACTGGAGGAGGTTCTGCGCGCATTTGCGAACCGGGTGAGCTCGGATGCCAAAAGTCCGCAGCAAACTGGCTGTCGCCATGGCGCCGGCGACGACTGTCAGTGTATGGTCTCCCCGGACTGCTCCTTCGCGTCTACCAGTTCCCCAGTGTAGGTGGTTTCCGTTTTTGTTTTTTTTTTGCACTGTTAATCCTATAGGGGTCTAAGCCGTAAGTGTGCTCAGAGTAGATGGACTATCTCATGCAATCCTACGATTTTTACAAGTCACTCCCTCTTACTCAAACGCAGGCCAAGCTGTGGCCCCCAAAGCAACAAAGTTATGATCGTTCTTCACAATAGGGCATATTATGATTTATGAAGGAATA